CATATGCAATAGAAATGAGATTGGGAAGAAGTAGTGTATTTGAAATGTAAGATTCGGGGTTTAGGAAGAAAGTATTTTGAGGATATTATAAAAAGTAACATTTAAAATGAGAAGGTGGCATTGATATTTGGAAATTAATTTTTATTTAAAGAAAGAGTTCTTTGTGGCAAGAAATATGATTTAGGATCCTTAAACTTGAGTAAAACTACAGTCGGTAATATAGTGCTTGATGTTAAGAGAATTAGTAAAAGTGTATATTTTTTCTATCCCTAAGGAAAGCAACATTAGTTTTATTTTTTGAGAGTAAAATTTTGTTTTTCTTGAAAATGGTAACACTGTTTCTGTATTCTGAGCATCGGGTTAGAGCTCGCTTTTCGAGCGTCAACCTCTGAACAGTGACGTCATTCGCTGTTTCCCTTCGTTCACCTCACCCATGTTTCTTACTATACTACTGATGCACAAAGAAGGTACAAGCCACCCCTACCTTACCACGAGGTACAGTTTTACCCCAGCTGAATAAATGAATTTCTTTTACGATAATTTTAAACAATTTCATTCTTTTTCATTTTCAATTTCGCAAACATTCCAAACATTAATTATCACCCTAACCAAGTAAACGAAAGTAATTGAAAATAATTTTACTCTTTCAAATCTACTTAATCAATCTTACAAAAATACAAAACTGAAAAGTAATCTTTCTTCTTAAGGTCCTCAAGGTTTCCATATATTAAAGTTAAAATTCGTTTGCGCAGCTATGGAACTCCATTGATAAGCGTTAATCTCTGTCTATCTTTCTTCCAGAAAATCGGTCTATGTTCCATTTACGGATCGCCTCGAGACTTTGCACTTTTCAATTCGCTAGGCGAACCTTATCGACGAAGGATTAGCCGAGGAAGATTCCGTGAACGATTGTCGACGACGGCGAGATGCTGGATACGAGCGTGAATCTTTTGAATTCGAGGTCTTACTTACGTAAGGAACAAATATGCTCTTGTTGGAGAACGATCTGGGTAAGTAATTAATTTCCTCCTACACGGTGTTCCAAAACAATCGAATTTCCTTGACGAAATATTCGAAATAAAATTGCTCCACTATATTTGTCACTGTGATTACTATACTTCCGATATTTATGCTAATGCATATTCTTCTTCTGCTGTCGGTTTTATTTGCAACAGTTTATGAATCACCATTTATGATTTATGATAATTCTGCATTTTGCAATTCTGCATTACAGCGCCGTTATTATATTTACAGTTAGGTACAATTTATATTGATATTTATCTTCGAATAAATTTCATCAGAATGACGTACATTTAAAATTGAACACCTTGTGTATTTCTGAAATCCATTTACCACATGTTCGTACAAATTTTCATCATTGTTCCAATGTTCAATTTACATGTTAGCGCATTTAAGAATTTCGTGTTATAAAGTGTTTATTCTTGAAGTTTCTTGACTAGTAGCATTTTTACAAAGGACAAAGAACGTTTTGAACAGAAAGACCAAGCTCTTTGTTCGTCAGTTTAAAAAGAACACTGTGGTTCTCCCGATTCATCGTGGAATTGCATTAAATAAGCGTTATCGCTTATTAACCGCGCAGATAGAGCGAAAATTTAGTTATGTACCGCATTGAACACGGTAATTGAGATAAATTAATTTCCCTGATTGAAGACTGGAAAATTTGCTGGAGACAGAGTCTCCTTATTATCCACTTATTATGCACACTTGTGTCGACTATTCAAATGCTGCATCTCTTTATTTTCCCTGTCTCTCTTTCTTATCAGTTCGAATTGATTACAAACACGTATGTTATCCATTAACATTGAAAAAAGAAAAGAAAAATAAAAGCTTATAAAGACGTCTGCGAAATATTCATGAAAATACACCTTTATACGAATGATACGTAAATTTTATTTGCTTCACTTGTATAAAATATAAAAGAAAGTGCAGAATGTTGAGGACGATTTATTCCGTTCTCGTTGAAGAAAATGTTAAGAAAGGTGAAAAACAGAAAGTTATAAAGATTTTTGAAAAATATTTATAAAAATATCGTCTTTGTACGAACGATGTAAGTACGATTTGCTTCACTCGGGCTCGTTTACGAAATGAAGAATTGTTGAAGGTTGTCGATTTATTCCATTCTCTTCGAAGAATATATTCTCGATGAATTTCGAAAGATCGTAACTTCTTTCTTGGCTACGTGTTCGCGCATAATTGATATCGTTGGAAAGCGTTAGGCGAAAGGAGGAATAAAAATGACAGAAAACCTGTCTGGTTCACGCACAGAAGAAAGAAAAAGCAGCAGAACGGAGCGTATAATAGATGCCTGCGTATGCATTAGGCTGTATACTAAGTTCTCGTGTTTATGGCACCGGGAAATTCCATCCTGGTGTACTTGATCGATCATTTCCTCGTTCGCTTTTTATTTTTTTTTTTTTTTTTCTTTCAATACATGAAACTAAAAGAATACCGATGAAAAATAACAATTTCTAAAAGCACTGTACACACTATTCGTTCATTCTTTTAACCTGGATATTTTGTTCATTTTTTTTATATTTAATTTATTTGAAGTTGGAAAAGTTATGTACTTTAATTATTAAAACGTTTACGCATGAATTATTGTGAAATAAATGGTGAAAATATTATTGTCATCTACAGATTAGAAGAGTTTCCAGTTCTAAAACGTTTGGTTTCGTTGGACCATTTTTCAATCTAGTCGACAATTGAAGAGACGAGAAGTGAAGTTTGTATAGCATAAATAAGAATTAGAGGTATATAAATTTCGTGTAAGAGATGTTAACCCTGCAAAGTACAAAGAACGCTCAGGTAGGCAAAGTTTACAAAGAAACGCGTTTTTCAAAACAGGACATTCATTCATTGTATGAAGACAGATGAGCAATTCGCTATTCTCTTGATAACAGACATATCGTGACCCGAGAGAAAAGATTTAAATTCAAAAGATGAAGTAACTATGTAAAATCCTTTAAAAAAATCTATTCCTCTATAATCTACAAAGGAGATACATAGAATTTTACTGAAACACCCTGTACACACTCTAAAGGGAAAAAACCTCTCAAATCTTCGCGACGAATCAAAAACCTGAAACACCCTGTATAGATTCAGAAGCAAAAGAAATGTGCGCGATGAATCAAATACTTTATCGAAAACAAGTAAAGTAACATTTGGGAAATGAACCATAATACTACAAGGACTCTGTTTACGATCTAATAACAAACGATAAATCTACCTGTTGAGAGCGTGATTTAGACGGTTTTACAGGCGCAATCGTTTGATAAATATAAATCACGCCAATTAGGAGAAGCCCACTTCAGACTGCAACGTGTGCCTTATCGATCCTGATAAAAGGCAATTAAGCTGATAAGTGTAGACAGACATCGATTCGACGATTCTCTGTTTGCCATTCTAACGTTAATAATACACGGCGAGACGCATGTTTTCCAAATGGACGATACACATCAAGATGGCGGTTAAATTGCACGTAGTAAATGGCGTCCTTAACTTTCGTCGAACGACCGAAATTGCAATCGCGGTGAGGTTTATTTCGCGACTGACTATTTTTGCACGCGTGTCACCACGTTAAATCGGAACGATGTCAAGAACACGGCGATCGTGCTCCTGCTCGAACAATGATTCCTTGTTCCTGTACACCGGGTGGCGCGAGAGTTCGCAAGCTTTTTCTTTTATTTGGAATTCATTTCATCGATGTTTACGTTACGCAATACACTCGTTTCTAACGTGTTTTTTTTTCGTTTTGCATAGAAGAAAAGCGACAGCTTCTTTGTTTGTACTCGGTGGCGCAGAAGTTTGTAAACTTCCCTTTTTATTTCGAATTCATTTCGTTGATGTTTACGTTACTCAATACGCTCGGTTTTTAATTCGTTTTCTGCTTCGGTACTGAGGAAACTCGAAATTTTTATTTTTATTTCTTCATCAGCTTGTATGTAAATTATTTATTCCTTGTCTACCATTGATATATAAATATTTCTTCGTTCGTATATTTCGAAGAATGTTTCATCGAAATATGAAGAACGAATAATACCGTGTTTGAATATATTTTTTTCTTTCTTCCTTCAAGAGTTCATTTGTGCAAAATGAAAGGGTGAAGTACAATACAAACCGCGTTGGTTTGATTCTGCTCGTTCTATTCCGATTATACATTATTATTGGCTTACGAATACACGCTGCATTATTATATCATACGATAACGCGCTTATTTGTC